AAGTATGAACAAGACATGGAGATGCTAGACTAGATGGGAACCACATCCACATAGGGGGAAGATCAACCGGAACATTACACGAAGTATGAACAAGACACGGAGATGCTAGACTATATGGAAAGCACATGCACATAGGGGAAGATCATCCGGAATATTACACGAAGTATGAGCATGACAACGAGTGATTAGACTAATGAAAAACAGATATATGTGAAGGGAAGCTCAACCGGAACATCATACTAAGCATGAACGTGACAAAGAGTGATTAGACTAATGAAAAACACATGTATGTGAAGGGAAGATCAACCGGAACATCACACTAAGTATCAACATGACAATGAGTGATTAGACTAGATGGAAAGCACTTGCATATGAAGGGAAGATCAACCGGGACATCACACTAAGTGTGCATAAGACAAAGAGTGATTAGACTAATAAAAGGCACATGCATGTGAAGGGAAGATCAACCGGATCATCACACTAAGTATGAGCAAGCCAAAGAGATGCTAGACTAGATGGAAAACACTTGCATATGAAGGGAAGATCAACCGGAACATCACACTAAGTATGAGCATGATAATGAGTGATTAGACTAATGAAAAACACTTGCATATGAAGGGAAGATCAACCGGAACATCACACTAAGTGTGAACAAGACAAAGAGTGATTAGACTAATGAAAGGCACATGCATGTGAAGGGAAGATCAACCGGATCATCACACTAAGTATGAGCAAGACAAAGAGATGCTAGACTAGATGGAAAACACTTGCATATGAAGGGAAGATCAACCGGAACATCACACTAAGTATGAGCATGAAAATGAGTGATTAGACTAATGAAAAACACATGTTTGTGAAGGGAAGATCAACCGGAACATCATACTAAGCATGAACATGACAAAGAGTGATTACACTAATTAAAAACACATATATATGAAGGGAAGATCAACCGGAACATCAGACTAAGTATGAACATGACAATGAGTGAGTAGACTAGATGGAAAGCATTTGCATATGAAGGGAATATCAACAGGAACATCACACTAAGTGTGAACAATGCAAAGAGTGATTAGACTTAACGAAAGACACATGCATGTGAAGGGAAGATCAACCGGATCATCACACTAAGTATGAGCAAGACAAAGAGTGATTAGACTAACGAAAGACATATGTACGTGAAAGGAAGATCAAGCGGATCATCACACTAAGTATGAGCATGATAATGAATGATTAGACTAATGAAAAGCACATGCATGTGAAGGGAAGATCAACCGGAACATCATACTAAGTATGAACATGACAATGAGCGATTAGACCAGATGGAAAACACTTGCATATGAAGGGAAGATCAACCGGAACATCACACTAAGTGTGAACAAGACAAAGAGTGATTAAACTAATGAAAAACACATGTATGTGAAGGGAAGATCAACCGGAACATCATACTAAGCATGAACATGACAAAGAGATGTTAGACTAGATGGAAAACACTTACATATGAAGGAAAGATCATCCGGAACATCACATGCTATTACATAAGTGAAAACAAGAGTCTAAGTAGGCAAGATCACCAAAGTTGAATCAAAGATCATCTATGAAAGAAGTGCTATACTACCTACTTGTGTGAGTGTGAAAAACACAAGTTCGAAGTTCCCAAATCACCAAGATTGCATCATGGATCACTCATGGGTGAAGCGCTACACTACCTACTAGTGTGAGTGTGAAAATCACAAGTTTAGACAACCCAAATCACCAAGATTGCATCATGGATCACTCATGAGTGAAGCGCTACACTACCTACTAGTGTGAGTGTGAAAATCACAAGTTTGGAGAGTCCAAATCACCAAGATTGTATCAAGGAGCATTCATGCGTGAAGCGCTATACTGCCTACTAGTGTGAGTGTGAAAATCACAAGTTTGAAGCTCTCAAATCACCAAGATTGCATCAAGAAGCATCCATGTGTGAAGCGCTATACTACCTATTAGTGTGAGTGTGGCAAACACAAGTTTGGAACTCCCAAATCAACAAGATTGCATCATGGATCACTCATGGGTGAAGCGTTATACTACCTACTAGTGTAAGTGTGAAAAACACAAGTTTTTGAGAACCCAAATCACCAAGATTGCATCAAGAAGCATCTAGGAAAAAATCAGAGTACTACATAGTGCATAAGTGAAAGAGAAGAGTTTAAGTAGCCCATGGAAGAGAGAAGGTGAAGTAAGAGAAGATGGAGGAGAAGGGGAGAGAGATGAGGAAGATGAAGATGGAGAAGAAGGGGAGGAAGGAAAAGAGAATGAAAGTAAGGAGGAGGAAGTAGGAGATGAAGAGGGGAGAGAAGAGAAGGAAGAAGGAGGGAGTGAGGAGGAAGAAGAGAAAGAAGAAGGAGGAGAGGAAGAAGAAGAAGAAGAAGAAGAAGAAGAAGAAGAGGAAGAAGAAGGAGGAGAGGAAGAAGAAGAAGAAGAAGAAGAAGAAGAAGAAGATGAAGGTGAAGAAGTCTCTTCCTTCCTCTCACCTTGTTGATTCCTTGGTGTTGGTGTCCTCTTAATGAAGCTTCCTCTCCTTGCATAATCCTCTCTTGGCTATGGCTTCCTTCTTCTCCAAGCCCTTCTCTCCTCCTCCCTTGCTTTCTCTCGGGCTATGGCAAGTTTCCCCAGCTATGGCTATGGAGTCCTCCCCTCTAGGAGGGCTAATGAGGCTCCTCTAGCCTCTCCTCCTCTCCTACACCCAGGAGGGATATGGCGGATCACCTTCCAAGTGTCTCTCCTACCATCACTATCCTCTAGAGTCCTCTCTACCTCCTAGTCTCCTCTAAGCTCTCCCACTAGCATGGACTCCTCCCCTCTCACTCCAAGTGCAAAGGTGCTCATGTGAGCTCACTTGGGCAGCATGGGCACTTCTCATGCAAATGTGAGAGTGACGGACTGCATCCTCAGCTTATGTAGGCTGAAACCAGCAGTCCGGCCAGCCCATGAGCCTCCCCTTGAGCCTTGAGGTGAACCGAGGTACCCCCAAGGCAAAATTTCCTCACTAGGCCCTCCTTGACGTACCTGGGCCTCATTTTGGCCAAGTA